AAGGTCAGCCCTTTTAGGGTATCTTTAGGCTGAACGTCAACCCGGCGCACCACCAGCAGCGGATAGCAATCCACCTATCTTCGAGGCTTCGGCGGCATATGGCAAGCCCCACGACCAAGTTACTGAGTGCGACCGGTCGTCTCCAGGCATTCCACGCCACACCCGTTCGGTGATCCTTACACTGTTTCCAAACCATTCCGTCCACTGCTCAGTGCGAGCCCTCAATGACCCGAGGACCAATAGCTGCATCTTTGGCAAGGATGTCAGGTTATTCACCATTACGGCCAATTTATTGATCTCAGTGGCATTGATGACCATACACTTCAGAACCTCCAGCTTGCCACGGCAGCTGCTTACATCCTCTCAGACCATGGTCCCATCATTGGTCTGATACACCAGGGTGCTGCCATGTCCCATGGGAAAACCATTCTCTCCCCAGGTCAGTTGGAGCATTTATTTCGGGTGCCGTGTCCATGACAAGGCCCTGACTGTCACCGGGCTCGACCCTTACTTTGTGACCCCCAATGGTTTCAGGGTGCCCATGGCCATCCAGTCCGGGCTACCCTATGTCCAACTACGGCCACCTACTGACCAGGAGCTCAGTGACAGTAGTATTCCCCATGTGGACCTCACCAGCCCTCATGCCTGGGATCCCTCCTGTCTTGACTCTGTCCCTGCGGATGACTGGTTCCTTCAGCAGGACAACACCCTTTACGATGATGGGGAGTTCCCACTGGACCCTCTTGGGCGACTTCGAGTGTTTGATGACGACTTCGTTGACCACTCTGACCGCCAGAACCAGTCCATTGATCGTCGTGGCATCATGGAAGCCATGGCACACATCATCTCCGACGAGATTGACCTTCCCCCCCTCATGGAGCGAGAATCCCACGGTTATGACTCAGACTCCTCGGATGACAGTGATGGTTATGCTTCTGATCCTGATACTCCATGGCAATGCCATGTACAAACCCGGGCCCAACGCCGGCGCCGGCCCACCCCTTTGGCAGCCCCTTTGTCATCAGGTGCTGGGGAGGATTGTTCAGGACCACCTTCAACACAAGCTAAGCCAAAGGTTAAGACTGTATCGGACGACGCGGACACGGAACCACTTCGGTCCAACAACAAGGCCAAACACCACACCGGTCTTGAGTTCCCACCCAAGTCCAAGAAGGTCAAGACTCAGAGCACCGCCAAACTCAGGAGGTTCTTCCCAGGAGTTACCGATGAGACTATCAAGCGAACTCTCGATGCTACCACTCAGTATGGAACCAAGGGCGCCACTCAGGGAAGGACACTGAGAGGCCAGATCGTGTCTCCCAACCCCATCCTGAATATCCCAAGACGCCACGAAGATGTAGCCACGGATAAAATCTATACCAGCACGCCAGCTATTGATGATGGGTCCACTGCAGCTCAACTTTTCATTGGCAGGACCTCCCACTACAGGACACTTTGCCCCGCTGGGAGCTCTGATGCCAGTTATATCAGGAATCTGATGGATGAGATCAGGAAGCTTGGTGCCATGAACAGGATACGGTCCGACAATGCTAAGGCTCAGTGCAATCAGAGGGTCAAGGATATCTACAGGACCTTTTGCATCGACGACTGGCACTCTGAGGCCTACAAGGGCAACCAAAACTTTGCTGAGTTCATCTAAGAAGCGCATAATGGGGTCTCGCGAAAACAGCGAGGTCTGGAAGGTACCGAACGACATGCGTCCCTAGGCGATTGGTGTCGTCATTGCTCCCGGATTTGGATGGTGTTTGTTGTGGAACATGTACTGGGTTCTCCATTGGGTGTGGCAGTATGCACTGTTTTGGAACCCTGCATGCAACCTAAATTCCCAACCCCATAGGTACCGACCAATTTTGTGGTCCCGTTTTGTCCCCTATGCCATACCAATGAACATGGAAACTACATACAGAATCCGGTACAGAGCGGTTTGGGGGTTAGCTTTTGGTAACCACACTCACATTTTGTAAGGTCGTGTAGACTTTGCCTAAGGTATTACAGTTCCTTTATACGGGCTAGCGATTGGCAATTACTACTAGCTAGCTACTACTACTAGTTGTATCATGGGTTATTGGTATTGCGACTCTGTAAAGCTTGGTTTGAAAGCAAGAGGGCACTAAGTGCTCACACCAACCAATCTCGGAGTTGCATTGCAGCAAGGCAGATTTCACTTGGCATTGGCAAAGCAACAAGAAGTACTAGTACTAGGAGAAAAAGGGACATGACTACTGCAGGGAAACAGGGCTTGGTGACACTGACAATGGAAGACCCGCTAAAGAACCACGGAAAGTTAGAAGAACTGCAGGAGAGGAGAGAGACACATCAAGTCAAATGCCAACCATTCCACAAGACATGGAGGAGGAAGATCAAATTGCTTGGGGCCATGCAATATGGTTGTGGTATTGGTTCTGAAAGCTAGGAAGACAATAGAAAACTAGCAGCTGACCCGCGGTTGGGTACCCGAGATGACGGCAGTGAGGAAGCAAAAGAGGAGGCAGATGAGGAAGCCATAGATGCAACTGATGAGGAAGGACGTGAGCTCGATTCGCAAGAAGAGACAGATGATGATGATATTAATGAAGATGATGATGAAACCAGCAGTGGTGGATCAAAAGCTACCCTGGTACAAATTCCCAATGAATGGAACCATGACAATAAACCTCCAGACGATAGGAACATCGACCAATTCCGGCAATATTATGCAGATTCAAAGAAGTATGATTCGTTGGCGCTGCCCTTTGGGATGAAGGGGAAGACAAGCGCCTCGTGCGGA